AAACCCTAAAAAACCCTAAACCCCTAAAAACTACCTAAACTCTAAAAACACCTAAACCCTAAAAACCCTAAACCCTAAAAACCCTAAACCGTAAAGCCCTTAAAAATCTCAAAAAAAACAAATTACAAACCATAGAACCACCTAAACCTTAAGAACCCCAAACCGTAAAACCCTTAAAAATTCCCAACATACCAATTGAAAACATTGGAACCACTTAAACCCTAAAAACCCTAAACCCTAAAACCCTAAACTCTAAAAACCCTAAACTCTAACAACCCTAAACCCTAAAAACCCTAAACCCTAAAAATCCTGAACCCTAAAAACCCTAAACCCTAAAAACAACAAAGCCCTAAAAACCCTAAACCCTAAAACCCCTAAAACCCCTGAACCCTAAAAACCCTAAGCCGTAAAACCCTTAGAAACCACAAAAAAGAGATGTAAAACCATAGGACCACCTAAACCCTGGGGGTCGAGTGGGGATCCTCAGCTTAGAGCCAGCAGGGGTCGAGTGGGCATCCTCAGCTTAGAGCCGGGGTCAAGTGGGCATCCTCAGGCTGAAAAAAGATGCCCACTGGATCCAAAACTCGAAAAAGTTGCCCACTGGACACTAAACAAACTGGACCCCCCTACCCTCTGAGAGCAAACGAAGGAGCGAAAGAGAGAGCGAAGGGTGCGCGGTGCGTGCAGTGCGACGCCAGGAGTACATTCAGGGCTCCCTGGCGTCCCATCGACTCCGGGCTAATTCAGAAAAGAGTCTGAAAAGCTAGAGGGTTTAGCTAGAGTCTAGAGTTTTCTCTCAGTTCCGCTCCCGGTGCCTCTCTTTCCGAGGAAAGATGTACGACTCCGAGGAGTGGTGCTCGCCACCACAGATCGAGATCATCCGGATCTCCGAAGTCTTCAACCCCATCGTTAATAATGCCTCTGCCCCTGCTCGAATCAAGCCGCACTCAATTTCAGGAGAGGCCGAGCTAGGAAGTGAAGAGAGACTTCACAGACTAAGGCCTATTACCAGCAGCTATCTCAGATGCAAGAGGCACATGTGGCACATGGCACATGGCACTTCTCCCTCCCTGAGCTGCTGAGCTCCTGAGCTGTTGGAAGGTTTGGGGCACCGATCGGCATCCAGTACCGGAGATGTCGCGAGCAATTCCTATCCGAACTGCTTGGGACCGGAACCGGATGAACGAGGCCTGAGGTTTGGAACCATGCCAAGCTGCTAATTCAGCCTAGCCCTTTCCAAGGTGCTGCTCTTCCACGGCTGCAAGTGGGACTCCCTCTTCGGCATCCTCCGCGAACCAGACAATTCATCCTAATGGAAGCACTTTTTGCAAGCTCAGCCTAGCGGCCCTAGCGGCCTAGAATCGCAACCCGTTTAGCCTCAGTTGAACAGAGGTGAAGGCTTTGACCCGCGCCTGGGCGGCATCAACACCGGTGCCGCCTTCGGCATCGGCTGCTACTTCACCACGGCGCCTTGGAGTTACAAATGTCGCGGGGGAATGCGCTGCCGCGCCGCCTGATCTGCAGGTGTCCTCCAAGGCTGATGCCTACACTGAGCGCTGGGAAGAGTGGGAAGGCTCCTTCGACCCTTCACCATCCTTTGCCCCTTCCACCCCGGCAGCATGTGGATGCATCCGGTCGCAGGCCGGCCCAACTGCGAGATCCCCGCAGACCTGCGCCCCTGGAACAGAAAAGCTTCACTTAAGAGGTCCCCTTGTTTGCTCTTATAAAGAAAGCGTCAAGAAAAGAGGCTGCCTGCTGGTGGCACGCGTAGCTTTGGGCGAGGCAGAGCATGGCCATCGAGCCAACACGAGCCCTGCTTTTTAAAGCTTTAACGCTTTGCTTTCTTCCGCTGCGCTGCCTTTGGCGGATTCGTTTTTTTCTGAAAGATCTTCGAGCTCCGCGATGCTGATGCTTCCTTGCGGCGGCCACCTACGGGCGCAGCAGAGTGCCCAAGAGCGGCAGCAGCGTGAGCCAGTTTCTATGTGGCAGGTTTAACAGGTAAAAGTCCCTCTGAGGCAGAGGTCCGCTGCGATTCCGTCCTGGGCCCGGGCCTTTCGCCCGCCAGCTCTCAAGGGAGGGCAAACCTCTCTTTTGCTCGAAAGTGGGGCGGGCTCCTCCGTTGCTGCCAGGTGTGCCTCGAAGCCGCGGAGGCTGTGTGGACTACGACGAGTTCGTCATCTACAAGCAGGCACAAGCGCTTCAAGCTTTGCAAGCAGAGGAAGCAGACACTTTCGGCAGAACTTCGCCTTCTGCTTCTGCTTTTCTACTTGCTGTTGCTAGGCGCAAGCCACGCGATGGCCTCAGAGTTTAGGTTCTGCCGCGACTTCGCTTCGCAAAGCATTCTTTTTTCTTTTTTCAGGCCGCAGTTCATCGTGGACTACAAGCACCTGGACTGCTGCACCTGCCGTAGCTGTATGCATGGCATCGCCTAAGAAGCTGAGCTGATCCTCATGCCGAGCCCGCAAGAATGCGAATCGGTGAATGCGAAAGGCTGCGAATGCAAGCTGCGAAGGCTGCGAATGCACCTCTGCAGCTTGCTCGGCATGCCCGGTGAGCACGGTGAGCATCCGGCTTGCCCCCGTTTCACAAAAGGAGAGGTTGCGTGAAAGTGCCGCATGGCTGATGTAGCTGCGACATGCTGCGACATGCTGCGTAGCTTTTGCAGACGTAGACATTGTAAGAGCTGACGTGGAGTGAAGAGCGAAGACGTGGAGTGAAGACGTGCTCAGCTGCAGTCCTTGGCTCGTGCAGAAATGCGCCCTCTGGGCCTGGGCCTGGCCTCCTAAGGACCGCTCCGCCGCTTCCCGCCTTTTAGGGGGAGAGAGAGAGAGAGTAAGCTGTGAGCGCTTTAAGGGAACGAGCGCTTCCGAAACCCCTCTCGAGGAGTGCGGAGTGGCGCGGGGTCTTAGAGCAACAGCTGCGACAGCTGCGACAGCGCAAGAAGCTCCTTAAAGGGTCCTCTTGCTTTTCTCTTGAAGCTTTAGGCGTGGGGACGCGCTCCCCTCGAGGACTCCGAGCGAGGGGAAGATCTCCATCCAGGCTGCTGCTCGGTGCTCGGCTTCTAGAAAGGATAACATAACCCATTCAGTGCTTGCATACAGACCCCCCTCAAAACCCATGCAAACCCATCCAGGCATCTAATGCAAGGTTGGAGGTTGCAATTTTTCAGCGCAGCACCATTGAAACCACTTGAAATCGGCTTTGCGCGATCCCCTGCTTTGGGTCTTTACACGCTGCAGCAAGGAATTCAATCCCATTCATGCAGAATTCATTAAAGCTGGGCCTTACAATCCCATGGACAACAAAGTCGATAAGAACACATAGATGCAGAGTTGGAGCCAGCACGGTGGACGCCACGTCTTGTCCACCCAGTCCTGGGGTTTGACAACCTGAAAAATCGTTTGCGACGCCACCATGATAGCATCGAAGCTCGTTCTTCAGAATCCTTGTGGCGTCTTCCAGAAGTGATTGGCCTTTACCCTGCAGCGCAGCATCCGATCACATCCTGCAACATCCTGCAGCATCCTATCAAATCCAGGCATGTTGAGATTTGTGATGGGGCCCAGCTCTGTCTCAGGCACGAACCACGAACAGAAAAATCCCAAAAACATCTCCAGCTCCAGAAAAGGAAAGGAACACACACAGAACATGTGAACACAGAACTATGCATCCGCCGACGCCGAGGCGTGGCGTGGCGGTTCGCCTCTCTGATGGGCTGCGCACAGGGCGTCGTGTCCAATCCGGTCAGCCTGCCAAGCCGGACGTCTTCTGCGAAGCTTCTGCTGTGCCGCTGTGCTGTTCGAAGCCCTCTTTGATAGGTACAGCCTGCGGCGATGGAACCCAGCAAGCCCATCGAGCCTGTGCACTCAGAGGCCTCTCTGCCGGCGCCTTGAGCAGAGACTCGGAGTCTATCAGTCTGATATATATATATATATGTGTAATGCCATGGACAGTTTGCAGTGTGGGTTTAGGGTGTGGGACCTTTGGGGTAAGGTCGCAGCCCTCCGGCTGGCAGCTCAGAAACGCTGTCCTCATCTGTCCTCAACTCCTAAAGTTCCTAAAGTATCGGCTGCCTAGGTGGGGGTTGTGTTAAATGAAACGAGGTCCAGGCTCCGGCAGCTTAAAAGCCACTCCGGAGAGGAAGGTGAGCCGAGCTCTCAGAGACGGAAGAAGCTTGGCTCTGCCAAAGCCAAACTGCCAACACACCGAAACACACCACCTTTTGTGCCCCCACCCGTCCACATCCTCCTTCTAGGCAGTGATGGCTCACCGATTGTAGGAGCCTTAAGAATTACGCTTGTTCAGCTGTCTTGCGGTCTCTGGGTCTTAGCCTGCTGGTTTTAGGTTATGGGAAAATACAAGATGAGCATGACGAAACAGGCGCATACTGCACTGCGCGGATACTGCGGGTACTTTGACATAGTCCCAAGCGGTTTTGAGAAGAGTTGGCGAAGAGAAAGGAAGCCATACTCATCAGGACCTCATGGGAGAGGGGACCTCGAGCATCTGCAGAAAAGGTGTCTGCATGGAGCAAAGCGCTTAGATATCTTTTGAAAGAGGGAGTCAGCTTTTTGACGCAAGGGCGTCGAGCTAATTCCAGCTGCCGAGGACCGGCACGGAAGTGGCCATCAAGGTCTACAAGGCCAGAAATCAGCGACCGTGTCATATGTTATAATCACATGCTACCACCACTGAACCCGCATTTTCTGCCTTGTACGTGATGTTCAGCATGTGTTTATGGTACTTAAATTACTTACAGTAATTACTGGGTCCTTGTTGTTTCGTGTGCCGAACCCAATGGCCCTGTGCCAAAACCACTGTGCC